GCAGGACAGGAAACTGCCAGGCGCATTCTGGATCCCCCGCCCATCCCTTCGATGGCCCAGAAAAGTGGGTGTTCGCCACGACAGCGAGCCCTCCGAGGTTCGGAGGGGATCGTCAGGCTCGACAGGATTTTGTCGGTCTGACCGGCCCTAAAACCCTGATTTCACCCCTTTTCGAAGGTGCAGGGCGGATTCCAGATCCCCCGCCCATCCCTCTGAAGGCCCAGCAAAGGCGTGGCGAACAGGGCCGTAGGATTAACGTACCTGAATTTGGCTAAGTTGATTGGCCGCATGTGTAGTGTCAGGTGTCTTTGACTTCTAATTTAAGTAGATAACTGCACCTGTCATAGTGTAAAGAAGTGTAAGGGCAAACTTCAGACATGCCCTGATTTCAAGTTCTGACTTTGGGGTGTGCCCGTGACCCTTAAGGGCGCCAAATCAATCACCTACCCCCAACCAAGGGTCAGATTGGGAGGAGCTGGGGAGCGCAAGTTCGAGCCCCAGGGACTTCGACAGGCCTGGTCACCACACATTCATCCCTTCTTCGTTGACACTTCCCCCTGAACAGTTTCACCCTCTGATGACGTGCTGGTTCGGTTTGTTTGGGGGATACTGTACGTGTAGTGTATCAGATTGGAAGGACTCGGGGTTTCGTTCCCTATTTGCTGAAAAGGGTTGTTCTTGTCGCGTAAGCATGCTCAACCAATCTCGTTTGGGTATGACAGTCGCACAGCACACCCAATTTCAATCGCCAGAAACTGCCGTGCTCAGTTGGGATTGGCGGGCGAACGTGCTAACCTGAAGATAAGCAGGTGCCCGGATAGTTCGGGAATGTAGCCGTGACGAAATCCCTGAACTGGGGGGAAAGTCGGGGAAGGAGGCTCGCTCCTATCGCACGAGGGAGTCACGTCATCATTCTCGAGGGTGGTGCCAAGTAAAGTCGTCCGAATCGCAATCGAACGGCGGTGAAGCAGCTGGCAGGGATCGACGATGTGGAGCGATCTTTTAGTGAAGGGGGGAGCGGAAGACGGAAAGGGGGACGGGGAAAACCAAGCGCGCAGCTGGACGTCGAGCAAATCACAGGCTGGCTGGCGTTGTTGCTGAGCTGGCGTAAATCTGGGTGAAAGGTAAGGCGAGTCAGGCGCGCAAATATCGTGGCAGGCTCGAAAGTGTGGCTCGGGGAGGGAGGCGACCACGCAATTTCCACTGACAGGACAGGTCAGAAGGGGGGCAAGGCATGGCCGCATGGCACGCTGGTTTGGTTCGGTGGGTTCGGCGCTTGGTTGGGAAGAGTTTTGGAATAAAGGTTCACGCAGAGGGACGGGAGAGCCAGCTAAAGCGAACAATAGAACGTCACCCTACAAACGGAGCGCTAGCTGTGAAGTGAAGCCTCCTTATCTCAGCAGATTTTGCACTGACAAGCACACCGACTGTGGCAACAGCAGTAGGCTGCTGGGCCAACACTAGACTACCAAGTCGGCCACTGTTTCCATAGTTCCCAGCTATCTAGCTCCGGTGCATCGATATCTCTCAGCTTGCGGATTACGAACGCTTGTTATTGCAAAGAATAGACAGTTTCGCGGCGGTCTCCAATCCTTCATTCTAGACTTGCAACGTTCTCCTTGTATGAGAAAGAGAAGTCGACTCCAACGTGGCCAATGGAGACGCACGCCACATCCTTCTGGCGAAGAATCAGCTCGCGCCACGCCAGAAGTGCGACGATGATGCCCGACGCGACGCGTGTCGAGGAGACTGCAGAGATCGAAAGAAATTCCGTGAAATTCACTATTTCCACGCCTGAGCGTCAGCTGCCTAGGCTGCAGCCGTGCTCACCCGCTCAAGAAGACCATCCCAAAGGCTTCCACTGGCGGCGACTGCATTTCTTGCATCATAGCGGCAGCCTGCATCGGAGGCTTTCTTGCCCAGACGATCTCGCGGCCCTTGATGAGCATCCTAGCGAAGACGATGTTTGCTCGACGGAAGATGATTATCCGGCGAAGTCGACGTCCGAATATCTCGCCGATGGGGCAACAAATGCTATCGAGAACCGGCTTGTTTCCTCCACTCGACGCCGTCGGAAGCGGTCGTGTCGAAGCTGGTTATTCCCTCGCGCGCGATCTTTAACTGATCCCACTTCGCCAGGGGATAGAGCTTGTCCAGCGTCCCTTACCGCCTGGCCGCCTTCTTGCCCAACTAAGCTCTCATCTCGTCATCACACGCGACAGTCTGAACGAAATCAGGCGCCCAGCAGCAGCCCACGCAGCAGCCCGTGTGGCTCGTGTAGCAATAGCAGCAAAAGTTCTCCGTCCGTCTCCCCGCAGAACAGCGTCCTGTTTGCTGATAACGTGACGCCGCGGAAGATTGATCTGTGCCATCGCAACCGTCCGTCATCTCCACTATGCAAGCCAGCCTCATACCCTTCAGCGACGGTTCTTCCCAACCCAGAGATCCTTGGCGCTAACGAGAGTTCGTCTGATGTCAGTATTAACGGAGTGGACGTTTCGCTACTGCACTTACTCCTGGCCAGCTTCCTTGGATGCATTGCCATTTTTCCGCCGAAGCACCTCATGGTGCTACCTGTCATATGGAGGAGCTTCATTGGAGCGAGCCTCATCGTCGTGAGCTTGGCTTCTTTGTTGTTGCTCCTCTCCAAGGGGCAGACAGCAGCAGCTGCTGGCAACACAAGCGAAAGAAAAGGCTCACCGCAAGTGCCACGTTTCGGCGACGGGAGCAAGGCCATAGCAGTCAAAGAGAATCAAACTTGTTCCAAAAATGGATTGATTGTTTTTGGATTCAGCACAATGGATTGCTGCGAAGGTCTGGATCTGTTTGCAGTGCCTGTTCTCCTGGCGGTGTTTGGAGTTTCTGTCATGGCCAACAGCGACCCAAGTCGAGTGGCCTTGATTCTCCTCTTATTGGGACTGCTAGTGAAAGGTGTAGGGTTATTGTTGAAAGGTGTAGCAGCTTTCAGCACAAGGAAGATAGGCAATAAGCCAGCCTGGTGGCTGTGGGTAGCAAAACTTCTAAAAGCTAGGGAAGAGTGGGATAAGTTGAGATTCGGAATCCATTGATGTATAGTTTCTTCCTCTGTACGCTAAGCTCACTGATTTCTGGAGTCTGGTATGTGCTCTAAACGGTAGAGGGGTGCAAGTGAAAGGTGGAGGCACTGGAGGGCCACTAACGTGTGACAGTTAGTAGCGAAATAACTTGGTGGTGAGAATGGAAGTTCTTGTAGACAGCAAGAAATGGAACCACCAGCTGTGCAAGCTCGCAATCCCGGGATGTGTGTCTGCTTAAAGCTGAAGTATACATTTGTCATCCAGGTTTTGGGTTTAGGGAGTCGCCCCACAGTCTCACAGGCAAACTTTCACATCTCAAAAGATTTTGAACCCCTTCTGTCAACACCGGAATTCTCCATGCATGAGGAACTGAGCAGGCCCATTCAATTGCTGTGTCCACCTGAAATGTGGTACCGGTACTGCTCAACATCAATTGGAAACAACCAACGGCAGCGTAGTATATTCTGCACCACTACTCATGCCACATACGGTATGCTAAGCTTTCGTATTTCCCTTGGCTGCGAGGAACAGAGCTGTTAACTTCTTCCTGGCTTACTGAGGCACTAGCTTAAATGCCGAGCGAGGAATTCCTTCTGATACTGGACCTACACGGAAGTGAATATCTGAGGGGTTGGCTTCCCTGCTTTCAATGGAATCAACAGACAGCCACAACATCAATCTTCTCACGTGAACTCCCTGCACGAAAAAGAGGGACAACGTCAAAGGTGACAACGGAATTCGAAGCACAATAAGAAGAGCTATCTTGCCTTGAGATTTGTGATTTTTCCGCGACAAATGGTTCCTCTGACTTCAGAAGAATAGCGGACAAGGTTTCCGTGAATATTTCTTTCCACGCTGTGACTAAGTTTGACGTGAAAGGGCCCAGTCCTCGTGTTTGTGCTCTGCACGACCTGTTGAAGTGGCAATAACCCCGGAGGGAGTCCGTTTTCCTGCAAGAACAGCTTGAAGCTGAATTATCCACGCTTTCTATGCACAGAATGGGTGATCTCCAAGTTTCTGACCTGAAGTGTCTGAGACGCTAACGTTCCAGCGAGCTCGGAAGCCATACCAAATCCAGCAACGCCTGACATTGCAGCACTACTAGTATCCACTATGTCTTCGACAACAATAGGCAGGATCGCCTGGTGTGAAGCACCAACACATTCTTGGAATAAATGCCATTTGATTCCCTGGGGCTCCGTCACGACGTCATTTCCAGGGACATCACATGGAACATCACGAAGAACATATTCGGCACAGGAGCGAGAAATGCTGGACATGACGGCTCTCGAGAATGCCGATTGTTACAAGAGTGGAACGACGTCTGCTTTTTTTTACCCCTGGCTTGCGTCAAATTCCGTCCGAGGCGCCATTTCACCCGCTCGGAGAGGCATGAAATTACGAGGACACAAGCCAGCTGTCATGGTTTGAATTGTACAGTGGCTGTAATATAGACGTTTTCAGTGCTGGGCATACCCGAATTTGCAATACTGTTTGTATCGCGGACATGAAGCATTTACAAATACAAGTTTCCTTATCTGCCGAATTTGTGATGTCAGCGCCACTCCCTTGTGGCTTCCTCCTATCATACTAACTAGACGGCGAGAAACAGATCCAGCACTCTGGTTCCTTTCGGTATTGTCACTCTTTCCTATAATGGCTTCGTAGCAACCATGGTCATGGGTACGCGGTGCGCGTGTATAGCTCTTTTTGCCTTGCTGGTAGTCGAAGCAGGAGCTTCAAGCTCCAGGTTTCCCGACGGCAACTCGTCAGGAGATTCCGTTACGAACGACCGTTCCGTCATACGCCTGGCTCAAGCAGAAGGCGTCGATTCGAATCAACGTCGCCTTACTTCGAACCCTCCGCAGCAGCACGAGCGCTTCGAGCATACATCCTTAAATACCACTAAGAACTGCACTGGCTGTAGCAATGGTGACACGTCGGATGCCCGTATGTGCGCGTCCGTGCATCTTTTGCCGAGAAGCACCACGTCAGCAGCTAAATGCGAGTTTGTCAGACAGTACTGTACATCAGCAGGCTCCAAGTCTTTAATCAACTACATCGACCTTCACTATTGTATCCTCCGTGCACGCTCCTGGATCTCACTCCCGCTACTCCTCCTAGGGTTACTTTCGGCTCTTTTTCTACTCGCTGACACAGCTGACCGCTTCTTCTGTCCAACTGTGGAGACAATGTCCACCATGCTCGGCCTCTCGCCCAGCACAGCTGGCGTGACGCTATTGGCGCTTGGGAACGGAGCGCCTGATGTGTTCTCATCTCTAGCGGCGATCGTTGGGGGGAACCCGAAAGTGGGGCTGGGAGCAGTTGTCAGGTGCGTGTGCAAGGTAGTCTTCATCGTGCGTGAGAGAATGTTCGTTGTATCAAGTCGTTTGGTAATAAAGCGGCATGGGATGAGACAGTGATAGCATTGGCTTTGTATGCTTCAAGATTAGATGTCGAGTGCAATCGGTGGATGTTTCTTTCTGAATTCAAGTTCGTTCCTTTCCCATCGTCCCCGCTTCCAGTGCAGGCGCATTCGTCACGTGTTTCGTGGTGGGCTGCGTGGCAGTCGCAGCTGCTCCCTTCCCCGTGCGACCGCGCCCGTTCCTGCGTGACTCGTGCCTCTTTGCAACAGGCGTGCTGCTACTGCTCCTCATATACCTCTCAGGCCACGTGTACCTCTGGCAGGCAGTTGGCCTCGTAGCCTTTTATATCTGCTTCGTTGCCGTGGCTATAGTGTCCAATGCATGGGAGCCGCCAGACCCACCCCATCCACATTCCCATGGTCACGCCCGTGGTCATGCCCATTCGCCCATGGAGGATCAGAAAAGCACTGCCATCACACATGACACCCCTGTGACGCGATACAAGAGTCATTTGGTGCAACAGCCGGGAGGTGACACGGATGATGAGCCTCCGCATCAGCATCAGCATCAGCATCAGCATCAGCATCAGCATCAGCATCAGCATCAGCAGCAGAATGTGCAGCATCTCCCCCAGCAGCAGCCATTGCTGCCATTGTTCCGATCCTCCTCGCCTCTCGCTCACCACCACAACGGCATTCACAAGCCACCTCAGCATGTCCTTGTGCATGTCTCTCGATTCTGGCGTCCGGCCCTCTGGACCCTCACCTCCTGGCTTGAAAAGGTGTACCTCAACGCAAATTGTAAAATATAGCTGGTCTCCCACATCACAACTTGTAACCCCAGGTCTCAACTGTCTTTCTTCCTCTCCCCCCCACCCCCAACACCCTTCTTATCTCTTACTCTAAAACTGCCTGCTATTTCGCTGTACCCCCAGCACCCCCTCTTCTTTCTCGCCTCCCCCCATACTCCCCTTTCCGTCCCCCCACCCCTCTTTCAGATGTATCCCCTCCTTCCCCCACCCCCTCCCTCCCCGCGTCGGCGCGTCTCTCCCCTTTCCCCACTCCCCTTGCAGCTGCGTGCACGCCTGCACATGCTCTTTCAGATGTATCCCCTCCCTCCCCCAACCCCGCGCCTCTCTCTCCCGTTTTTCCTCCCTATCCAGCTGCGAGCATGCCTACACGTCGTCTTTGACCCACTGCGCCTTGCCACCATCCCATCCATCGATCCCCCGTGCCTCTCCCCCTCTGTACTCTTCCCCCCCTACCCTTCCAGCTGCGAGCGTGCCTGCACGTCGTCTTTGACCCGCTGCGCCTGGCCACCATCCCATCCATCGACCCCTCTGCATGGGACATCCGATACGCCACTGCCAACGTCGTCCTCTGCCCTCTCATCGCCATCCACACCACCCGCGCCCTCCTCCCCCCCGACTCCAACCTCCTCTTCTTCCTCCCGCCCCTCGACCCCCCCTCCTCCTTCTCCTCCACCTCCCTCTCCTCCCATTCCCCCTCCGCCTCCCCCGCCTCCTCCCTCTTCTCCTCCTCCTCCACCCTCTCGACCTCCTCCCTCGCCGTCCGCTCGTTCGTGCTCATTCAAAGCTCCCTCTGCGCTGCAGCGTATCTCCTCGCCACCCGTGCCTCAAGCCCCATAGGCGCACCCCGGTCCCTCATAGTCCCCGTTTCCTTTGCCATGTCAGTCTTCTGGATAGCTCTGACTGCCTCTGAGCTGCTAGGCCTGCTCTCCGCCCTTGGGATTATCCTGCACGTGTCGCCGTCCATCCTTGGGATTACCGTGCTCGCCTGGGGGAACTCCGTGGGCGATCTTGTAGCGGATGTGACTATAGCGAAGGCTGGGCATCCGACAATGGCGATTGCCGGGTGTTTTGCTGGCCCGATGTTTAATCTCATGGTCGGGGTTGGGTCGGCGTTGGCTGTCCGTAGCTGGGACTTGTACCCTGAGCCGTTGGTGTTGTATCACCACCCTAATGTGCTGCTGGCCCTGTGTTTTCTGCTGGGAGGAGTGCTTTCGTCCATTGCCTTTGTGGTGTGGTCTGGGTTTAGGGTAACTAGGACCTGGGGTGTCTGCCTGATTTGTATGTACTTGACGTTTGTGGTTGCTGCTGTTGCAATCGAGTCCTCATTGCATTGAGCTAAGCTCAAGGTGTTAGTGATCTACTAGGAGCATGACAAACATTCATGGCATGGCATCGTCACTCGGTGTGACTGGAAGTACAAGAAGCTAATAGAGCTAATCTGGACAGATCTGGCTGAGAGCTGCTGCTTTTGCACTTATCCAACCCAACCAGGCCACCCTATCCGACACGGCTGGCCCTGCTGCTGCTATCACACACCACCTTGAATACCAGTAACTTCAAGACAACCCTAAGACTCACCAAGCGATACACAGTTGTGAGCGCCTGTGCTGCGAGCGGAGCACTCACTCACACCACGATGGTGAGCGTCCCGTCTTCGTCTGACATGAGGAGCTGACACTCATGCCCATCCTCCTCGCCCTCCCCGTCCCCACCCCCAACCCTGTCTGCTGCTTCTCCTCTCCAACTCCCTTCTGCACGCCCACAAGCTGTATGGTGGTAGGTCTTATAATATTCAGTCTGAGACTGCGTGTGGACACCTCTAGTTGCTGCTTCTTGTTCTTCTGCTAGTTGCACCGTCAGCACGAATGCCACCTGTGACGTCTCGCTACGTGTCACTGTCACACGAAGGTTCATTCTGACACCTGCTGCTGACGTGTCATGAGTCATGTGACCTTGGGAGATACTATCGCTATGCCTGGATCTGCCTTCCTGACGCAGCCCTACAGCAGGAAAGGCATCTCCAGATTCTGCATATCTCTGCAGCACATCCTGTCGCATGAAGTCTGTTTCCCCATCGATGGTCTCAATTAGCTCTGATAGTGCCAACTCGGATTCGCACAGGCTCGCAAGCGGTTGACTAACGGACGTCATTGCTCCAGTCCCCGCTGCTGCTCCCAAATTGGAGGGGCGAGGAGCCATGGCCTCATCCGAAACCCGAAAGAGGCTTCGAGCAGAGCGGTTGATGCAGGAAAGACGGCCGGAGGGCGCTACAGACAGCACTGCTTGGCAGGTACCCTCCAGCACCGCGTTCAACCGCTCCTCACGCTCCCACCGCTGCCTCCGCTGCTGTATCCCCGCTACAACCTGCCCCACTGTCTTGGTTAGCACGTGCAGCTCTGTGACTAGAGCCTTGCTGTAGCCGCCCTCGCGATTGGTCACTGCGAACATGCCGACAAGACGAGAGCCTGAGAACAGCGGCACGCCAAGGAATGTCGTCATCGGCGGGTGCCCGGGCGGCACTCCCCTCGACCGCGGATCCGACGCCACGTCATTGCTCATAATGACGTCAGCGGTGGTAACCACCTTGCCCATGAGCGTGTTCATGTTGCCAAACACCAATCCCGAGGCCGCGTTGTCCGCGTACCACGCCTTGAGATACGGCGTCCACGCGAAGTTGGTGATGCTGTGCGTCCGAAGAAACAGCGACTCCTCGTCCTCACTGCTGCCACCGCCGCCGCCGCTGCTGCTGTTGCTGTTTTTGCTGGTGCTGCTGCGGGCGCGGGGGCGGCGGAGGGCGCTGGAGATGCAGCCAGCGGAGGAGCGAGTGAGGTGCAGCAGCTGCGACAATAGGTAGTCTGCTACCTGATGGCCGTTCGGGGACTGCGAAGGGGGAGGGGGACGTGGGGGGGGAGAGGGAGAGGGGGGGAGGGGGGGAAAAGGTTGGGGGAAGAGGGGGAAGAGGGTGAGAGTCCGCCCGTTCTCCGCGTATCGCAGCACACACCATGTGTTGGGTCCCTGTAGGGGCGTCTAGGCTTGGATCGGTGCGACTCACCATGTCGCGTGCGAAAATGTCGTGCGCAGTAACAATTGTCGACAGCAGCTCGCGGATACAGATCCCCGCGCCCGCTTCCGCCATCCCAGGGAAAGACCCGCCGCTTCCGCCCGCGCCGTGCCCCCCCCGCAGCCCGCTGGGCCCCGAACTCGTTCTCTCCAACGGCGCTTTAGCGGGGCGAGCGGGAAAGGATGCGAGCGGCGACACTGCGTTGACCGCCGCGTTGACCGATCCGTTGACCCCCGCGTTGACCGTTCCGTTGACCGTCGCGGAGAAGGGCGCGTAGGCGGAGAGTAAGCTGGCTTGGAAAGGGCACGCGGAGGGGCCGAGATCCTCTGCTTCCGACGAGGACGACGCGGAAGGATGTCGTCGCGGCGACGACGACGACGGGAAGGAGGTGGCGGAGGACGCGGAAGGCGACCTCGAAGCGAGCGGCGCGGAGAGCGCGGTGGGGTCGCAGAGAGACGAGGAAGCGTGCGACGCGGTGTAGGACGAGTAGGTGGGTAGCGAGAATGACAGAGAGAGCGAAGCAGGCGGCGGCGGCGCCGGGTACGGGTAGTAGGACTCGGATTCAGGCACCTGCGGCTGAGAGTTGCCAGGCGACGCTGAAGCGGGCGACGTTGCATGGCGACGGAAATGTGACGCCGCTTCGGCATCACCGTTTCTTGTTGATGGCGACGTCACGCCAGCATCAACGTTACCGGCTGCGTAACTGTGGTACCCTAATAGACTGTCGTATTGGGTGGTCGACGGCGGAGATCGCGTAGCCGTCGAGCAGCCATGGAAGGGCGGGGAGCTTCGCAAGGACGGCGACAACTCAGCCGCAGGCGACAGTGACGACGACGATGAGCGACCGTTACCATCGCTTGGCGACGGGTTCATCGCCGGACCATGATGATCCACGGCCGTTGGGGACCATGATGGGACAGATAGTCTGGTAGGAAACGCGGTGCGGCTGGTTTCGGCCTCTTTAATCTCCTCCAGACAATGCAGGAACCTCTGCTGGCCCGACGACTTGCGGCATTCTGGGTGCGCGCCGCGGTTCGGCGGAGGATTCGGTGGGTGATCTTGTAACGGAGGTTTGCCCGATAGGGTTAGCACGGACGACAGGCTCTTCGCGGGTTTGGTAGCGCCGAAATGCTTGATCACTGGAGGTGAGTCATGGTTGGGCTTCGCTGCGCGCTGCGACATGTCCGCTGCGTTAGGAGGCGACAGGTTATTAAACGACGGCGGAGTTTAAATCGGCGGATCTCTTCGAAAGATGGCGTTTCCAAGCAGGAAGATACACGCCCTGTGGTCTCAACTCAACGGCGAGCCAGGTGTGATATGGACGCGTCTGTGTGGGTGACGCCTGTCGTTCAACTTCTCCTGAAGGATGAGTGTGTGTGGTTCGGGACTCATGAAATCGCGACCTAGGCCCAGACGGGATCGAAGGGAGAAATGCAGGAAGGAGGGGAGGAAGGAAATGCAATGCAGGCGACAGCACGAGCGAGCGGGCATTGCAAGGAGAGGAGACAAAGCAGGATGTGAGGTGGATAGGATGAAGCTGTCGACTTGACGCGCCACCAGAAGCAGCCCCTAGCCTGTTGTGCCTTTCGTTGGCGTTGCTTTCGGCTGTTTCATTTCCAGCACAGAAAAGGAGCACGTCACAGCAGCAATGATCGTTGTTGGCGCAATGGCGCGCGGATGGCGGCGAGACAAATGGGGCGAATGTCAATGTGTGTTTGTTTCCTCGAGGTCCCTCACGAATGCGACGCGGAGCGTGTGAATTGATGCGATGCGATTTCGGTTATGTTAGAGATGATGTCAGCTAAAGCGTGCCCTGCCCAGGCTCCACTTTCGCTTCCACGTGATATATTGATGACCTTTCTTTCTGAAAGGAGTTAGTGTTTTTTTACGTTATTTTGGTACCGCACATGTTCAGACTGTAGAAATCGGCTCCATGCATATTTTCAATCATTTTTATGAACTGTCGTCTGCACTAAATATGTCAGTGGTCAGATAGGGCAGCTGAAGGAAATGCAATATGTCATCGTGAGGCAGCCAAGTTTTGTCTCGTACTTCAAGAGCTGGATGAGAAGAGATTCTCTCATAACCACATATTGAATATCTGCCAACCTAGATTTTCAACGACGCTATTGGTTCACAAGGTACTGAACTGTAATGGCTGCTGTCCCGTTATTAGGCATGGGAGCTAAGTCAAGACAGGGTACAAGCTCCTCGAATAGAGTATACGTGATTTAGACATTTTCAGGCTCGCAAGATGAGATTTGATTTTCTGTGTATTTTTCTTTCTGATGTGCGCCTCATGATAGGTTTGATAATTTATATTAATTTAAATCATTTTTTACCACAAATAACTGGTGCTTCAAATTAGCATATTTTGCTTCAAATCCTGGAATGGTTCTGGTAACGCTGTAGTAGCCAGCTCCGATTCTCTGTTTTTGTTGACCAGAGAGCAGCTCTGTGAGCGCTACCCAGCAGCTCATAATGCGTATATCGCAGTCGTCCCCTTCATCATTCGTCGTACTAGTTTCCAACTTCTACCTTCCTCCGTCCCCTCCGCTGTCCCCAGCGATTCCTTCTCCCCGCTCTCCTACGTCAGTTACCGAAGTTAGGAGATTTTATCAAAGCAAAGAGTTGGCATATCAAAGACGAGCAATCATGGCCGAACAAGGAGCAGGTAGTGACGATCCACGTTATACCTCAATACACTGCAACATCGTACATCATCAGGCACTCACTACCCTAATGATAGACTTCCCTGTGCGAGCCATTGCTGTCGATAAGTATTTTCCAGTACGCATCTCTGTGTTACCTATTTCGCAGCTCCGGTCAGGTCTTTTGCACAAGCAGCTGCGACAGAGGAGGTCGCACAACCGCTGCGATCCGTGCAGATCGACGGCCTCGTGAGTGTCGCAGCGTCGTCCACTTCGTCCTTAATTTCCTTCAAGCCTCTCACTTAGGCTTAGATTCGGCCGCCCCCGTTCTCGCGTAGTCTACTACCCCGACTGCCCTAAACCCTGATTTTAGCATGGTTTATTATTCTCTTCCTTTTCGTTCGGTACGAATTTCTAGGTTGCGATGAAGATTGACAAGCACTGTAGCGACTGGGCTCCTCAGCTTGTAACGGGTCTGCTGCTTGGTCTCGATATTGGCAGCACTCTTGAAGTCACCAATTGCTTTCCCTTTCCCGTGAGTGATCTTCATCCCTTACCTCTTTTTTTGCACCCTTCTTGCTTCCATTGCTCCGCTGTGCGCAAAAGGTCAAGGGAGTCTGTCACATTTACAGTTTTTCTTTATGCTTGGAAGTCTGTAAGGGGAGAATTTGGCCTGGGATGGGCGTCTGGCCCTTGGATTGCAGATGCTTCGCCGCGGAATCGCGATGTGTTGTTGTTTTCAGTCGCGCGCTTGAGCTATGCGTGTGCGCGTGTGTTCTCATTTTGGGTGTGTGTTTGGGAAATGGGATTGGTGCCGGCGTGCGTGTGATGCATATGTGTGAGGCCGTGTGCGCCATGGCACATGGCAACATGCATGGCATTCCGCATGGCCTCATGGACGGCATGATACGTGCCACGATGCATGGTGTTACGCGGCATGATGTATGGCATGACATATGGTATGGCATGGGGTGTGGCATGGTGTCGCGTGTTCCGCACTCGCAGAGCCGGGGAGGCGAGGAGGAGGAGGAGGAGGAGGCGGACGGTGCCATGTATCAGCTGGAGATGATGCGCTGCCTGCGCGAGGTCAATGTCGACAACAACACCGTTGGCTGGTAGGTCGTATGTTCTACCTGGGGTGCGTATGCCCCACAAGTGCCATGTATCAGCTGGAGATGATGCGCTGCCTGCGCAAGATCAAAGTTGACAACAACACCGTCGGATGGTATGATGGTCGGATTTCATATGCTCTTGGGTGTGGTGTAGTGCGATCAAGTGCGGTGTTCAACCCAGCCCCTCTTCTCCTCCCTCTGCTTTCTCTTCACTCCCCCCCGCCCCTCTCTCAGTTCTTGCTTCTTTTCTCCCATCTTCCCGCATTCCCCCGTTTCTCCCCGTCCCCTCCCCCATGCTCCTCACCTCCTCCCCCCCCCCCCCCCCCCCCCCTCTCTCCCCTCCCCCGCAGGTACCAGTCGACGACGCTGGGTTCGTTCCAGGCGGCGGACATGATAGACACGTTCGCCAGCAGCGTTTCTTCCGTGACCTGAACTGAACCCCCTCCTCCCCCGTGTCCCACCTTTCCTCCCGTGACCTGCGCCACCCTCCCCTTCCCCCCAACAGGTACCAGTCGACAACGCTGGGTTCCTTCCAGACGGCGGACATGATAGAGACGTTCGCGAGCTACCGGGAGAACATCAAGCGCTGCGTGTGCCTCGTGTACGACGCCGACCGGGCGGCCGCCCGCGGGACTGTGGCGCTCAAGGCGCTCACTCTCAAGGCGCCGTTCCTCGAGATGTTCAAAGCGGGCGCGCTGACGGGGGAGAAGTGAGTGTGTGGTTTGGGGGGGAGGGCGGGTGGTGGTGGTAGGAGTGGGCGGGGGACAAGTGAGTAGGCGCCCTTCCTTGAGATGTTCAAAGCGGGCGCGCTCACGGGGGAGAAGTGAGAGGGGGAAGAAAAGGGTTGTTTGTGGGGGGTGTGATGGAGGGCGTGTTGGGAGGGAGAAGGACGGATGCAGGAGGAGGAGCAAGTCTGGCAGCAGACCGGTGAAATCTTATCACAAGGTATTCACTCGGGTACGGTACGGGTGTATCACAGGTTGCTTCAGACAATCATTCCCCCAAGGCACCGTTTCTGCCAGTGTCCAAATTCCTGCACCCCCTTGGTGCTTGCTGCCGCCACTGCTGCCATTTGAGTCGACTCAATAGTCACCTTGAGTCGACTCAATAGTCACCTTGAGTCGACTCAATAGTCACCTTGAGTCGACTCAATAGTCACCTTGAGTCGACTCAGTAGTCACCTTGAGTCGACTCAATAGTCTCCTTGAGTCGACTCAATAGTCACCTTGAGTCGCCTCAAAAGTCACGAAGGCACCGTTTCTGCCAGTGTCCACATTCATGCACCCCCTTGGTGCTTGCTGCCGCCACTGCTGCTGCTGCTGTTGCCGACTCTGCTGCTGTTCCCTCCTCTCTCACTCTCTCTTTGCCAGGTTGAGGGAGAGTGACACATCGTGGGCGGGGATATTTGAGGAGATCCCAGTGAAAATGGCCAACTCCATGCTCGTCTCCACGCTCATCGCCTCCCTGCACCCCCCCGCTGCCGACGCTGCTCCCTCGCGCACCGACTTTGACCGCCTGCTGCTGGGCACCAACCCCTTCCTCGAGACCAACCTGGGGTGCCTCTCTGACTGCATGGATGATCTGAGTGCGGAGCAGCAGCGGGTGAGTGGGAGGGTAGGGCTAGTCGCATTAGAGCGCTTGTTGTATGCGGGCCTGGCAGTGGCAACACGAGGCTCACTTTGACCGCCTGCTGCTGGGCACCAACCCCTTCCTTGAGACCAACCTGGGGTGCCTCTCTGACTGCATGGATGATCTGCGTGCGGAGCAGCAACGGGTACTTCCCCTCGTTTCGTACCATGAGGCTCCCTCTTGCCTGCCGCGCCATGTACCCCCGTTTCTGCTTTCATTTACCCTCTTACCCTCCCCTCCCCTCCTGAGTTACAATTCTTCCCATGCGAATTGTTTTTTGAGTCGACTCAAAAGTCACCTCGCTTTCCGGACATTTGAGTTCCAGCTTTTCCATGCGATTAGGAGATAAACATGGAGGTTTCCAGTTCGCTTCCCTTGACTTCTCACAGACTCGCCTCGTTTCCGTCCAACCCCCCTTCCTCCTGTTCTTTCCCCATCCCCGCCTCCTCTTCTCCCCACTCTCCGTGTGTCCCTCTCGCCCCTGCAGTTCCAGTACCACTACCGCAGTGTGCAGCGCCAGCAGCAACACTTTTGTGAATTCTGAAAAGTTTCCTCTTTTCCCCCGCCTCTCTGTGCGTGTCCCTGGCCCCATGCTGCCCCCCTGCAGTTCCAGTACCACTATCGCAGTGTGCAGCGCCAGCAGCAGCAGCAGCTAGCATGGGTGCAGAAGAGAAGGTGGGTGCAGGGCAGGGGGGTTGTTGGGGCGTGCTTGTTTGTTTGCATTTGCTATTTGTCCCCATACAGGTGTGGTGTGATTGGGAATGTCTGTCCTCAAGGAGGGCTTCCTGAGACAGCAGAATGACTTGCACTTCCTTTTCTGAACCCCCTGAGACACGCACACGCGTACTTATGTACTCATGTTCTCACATCTGCCCACTCTTACTCACTCACACGCTATATATGCATTCCCATGGTTTTGGCAGATCCGACAATGCGAGTTGACTTTTGAGTCGACTCTAAAGTCACCTCTTACTCACTCACACGCTCTCTATGCATTCCCATGGTTTTGGCAGATCGGACAATGCGCTGAGGAGGGCAGCAGGGGAGGAGCCGTTACCAGAGGAGGCCCATCCCTTGACCCACTTGTGCATGCATTCCCACTCCCTCTCACACTCCCTCACTCCCTCGCTCTTTGGCAGATCGTACAATGCATTGAGGAGGGTAGCAGGAGAGGAGCCGCTACCAGAGGAGGATCCCACCAACCCCATCTTCAAGCCCATCCCTGACCCACTGAAACACACATACACATGCTCACCCACTCCCGCTCCCACTCACTACCCACTCACTCACTGCTTTGGCAGATCGGACAATGCACTGAGGAGGGCAGCAGGGGAGGAGCCGCTACCAGAGGAGGATCCCACCAACCCCATCTTCAAGCCCATCCCGGAGCCCTCGCGCATTGACATGCTGCTCACCACCAACCAGATCGCCAACTACTGCGCGCAGATCAACGAGTAAGCACGTTTTCTCTTTGTATAGTTGTATACAACTATGGTAGGATGTATATTTTTCTGTGGAAATTATTGACCACACTTAGCTCCTGATACTCAGTCTCACAGCTATATGAATGCATTTTTTCACTGCCTGTTTTCTTCTTTTTTTGCTGTTTGCAGGTTTAGCGGCCCGGCTCTTGGCAAGCTTTATCTCATGGATGCTCTTAATGGAGCATCTTGAGTGATTCTGCTATCTCAAAACCTATGGTATTTTTGTCAAATATAAATATAATTTCGAAGCTTGTGATAACTTAGGTAGGTCTGTAATAGTTGGGCCACCAGTGGTTTCTTGGAATCTTTACACTAAGTTCGTATTGAATACTGTTCACTAACGCGTACAAAAAGTTGAACATCCCACGAGACGCACTAATTTCTTTGCCACAATTGTTCCTGAATTTCAGTTCCAAGTTGGCAGTTCCTCGCTAGTGAAGAACGGCTTTGTTGACTGCTTCCGATGCCTGTACCATGAACAAACGATTTTTCATTAGTCTTGTCTAAGAACGAGTTGTGGGTTTTAACACATGTCCCTCTGACCGAAAGCTGGTCGCATTAGCCGGAAATTGCGCAAGATTCTTTGTGTAATTCATTGAATCCGTTATTCCGCGAGGACCGTCGAAACTCTCCGTTTGTGCCAATATCGAGGGATGGACGCGTCGGAGAGCGCACAGGAGCTGCAGGTGCAAACGCAGGAGGTGACAATGGAGGGGGAGACGCCGTCGCGGCAGGTGCGAGCGACGGTGGTGCAGGCGGCCACAGTGATGTACAACACGCCTGCCACGCTGGACAAAGGTGATTACTGCCACGCTGGATGAATGCCATGTTTTATTTTTCTACTTTATTTGTAAAGAGTAACGTGCGTTTCCAGGCTACATTGCGGAATGCTGGCGTATCCCCCATGGTGTGCTCAGTGATACATGCGTCTTTCTTCTCCCTCCTTCTCCCAGCCGAGCGACTGTTGGCGGAAGCGGCGCAGCTGGGTAGTCAGCTGGTGGTGTTCCCAGAGGCGTTCATAGGCGGCTACCCCAGGGGCGCCAGCTTCGGAGTGCTGGTGGGGTCGCGCACGGACCGAGGGCGCGACGAGTTCCGACGCTACCACGCCTCCGCCATTGATGTGCCGGGTGGGTGGAGAGGGGTGGACGTGGGAATGTGGGGCGTGGGCGTGGTTATGAAGGTGCTTGTAAGGTTGCGCACGGACCGAGGGCGAGACGAGTTTCGACGCTACCACGCCTCCGCCATCGATGTGCCGGGTGGGTGGTGAGGGGTGCATGGGGCAACGGAAATGGGGACGTGGTGATTTATCAAGGTGCGTCAGAAGCCGTGTTAGAGTGCTGGTGGGGTCGCGCACGGACCGAGGGCAGGACGAGTTCAGACGCTACCACGCCTCCGCCATTGATGTGCCGGGTGGGTGGAGAGTGAGGGAAGGCGGGGGAAGGGGGCAGGGGGGAGGGGGGAGGGCGCAGGGGGGGGAGGGGGGAGGGGGGAAGGGAGGAAGGGGAGGGGGGGGGGATGGAGGGTGGGAGGGGAAAGCGGGCGGGAAGGTGGAGGTGGGAGTGGGGATCAGTTTTTTGAGAATTAGAAAACAAACGGAAGGCCGATGGCACAGTGAGTTGACGCTCAGGATTTGTAGCTGCCATTGATGCGCCACTGGTGCTTTTTGTCCTCAACTCTTCCCTCCTCTCCTCCCCCACACTCACCCAGGTCCCAAGGTGGCGCGCCTGACAGCAGCAGCAGCCAAGCTCGGAGTATTCGTCGTCATGGGGGCAATCGCCAAGCATCATACCTCACCTCCCCTCGCATCCTCTCCTTTCCCCACCATCCGACCCCCCCCACCATCCCCCACCCAGGTCCCGAGGTGGCGTGCCTGACAGCAGCAGCAGCCAAGTTTGGAGGACAATCGAGGTGATTTTTGAGTCAACCCAAAATTCCTCCTCTCCTCCCCCACCATACCCCAGGTCCCGAGGTGGCGCGCCTCGCAGCAGCAGCGGCCAAGTTCGGAGTATTCGTCGTCATGGGGGCGATCGAGCGGGCGGGCGGCACGCTCTACTGTTCAGTTCTGTTCATCGATCCGCGCCTGGGCCTGGTCGGGAGGCACACTCTACTGTTGTTTCAAACACCCAGCTTCATTTGCCTTCCACTCCCCTCCCCTCCCCTCCCCTCCCCTCCCCTCCCCTCCCCTCCCCTCCCCTTTCCCCACAACCCCTTTCAGGTCCCGAGGTGGCGCGTCTCACAGCAGCAGCAGCCAAGTTCGGCGTCTTCGTAGTCATGGGGGCAATCGAGCGGGCGGGCGGCACACTCTACTGCTCCGTACTGTTCATCGACCCGCGCCTGGGGCTGGTCGGGCGGCACAGGAAGACAGTGCCGACCGCTTTGGAGCGCGTGATATGGGGGTGTGGCGACGGCAGCACGGCAGCAACGGTGGTGGATGGGGGGGGGGTGGGGCGGGTGGGCGCTGCAGTGTGCTGGGAGAATCGCATGCCCATGGTTCGCATGGCGCTGTATGGGAAAGGTGAGTCTTGGGACTGGGAAAGGTGATGCTGGGTCCAAGTGAGTAACCCATCAGAAGCCATGAGGTTTGATTTGACTCACAGGGTGGGCGCTGCAGTGTGCTGGGAGAATCGCATGCCCATGGTGCGCATGGCGCTGTATGGGAAAGGTGAGATTGGGGGAGGTGGGACTGGAGGAGGTGAGACTGAGAGAGGTGAGATTGAGGGAGGTGAAATCTTTGTTGCTGATACAGCCCACAACCCACAACCCACAGCCCACAGCCCACAACCCACAACCCACAGCGTACAGCCCCCCACAGCCCACAGTGCAGTGCATACCTCCTCCTTATCTCTCCACCTCCCAGTACTCTCTCCCTCATTCATTCTCCTTCCCCTTGTTTCACTCCATCCCCCTCAGGAGTGGAGCTCTACTGTGCGCCCACAGCACACTCTCGCGACTCCTGGCAGGCCACCACCGTGCACAATATGCCTCCTCGCTCCCTCTCCTCTCCATGTCCCATGCCTCCTCTCCCACAATTCGTCCCTGTGTTTCACCCCTGCCTCATCGCTCCCATCCCCTCCCCTGCAGGAGTGGAGCTCTACTGCGCGCCAACAGCAGAATCGCGGGACTCCTGGCAGGCCACGGTGCAGCACATACCTCCTCCCTCCCTCCCCATCCTTCCACTTGTTTCACTTCATCCCCTCCCCTGCAGGAGTGGAGCTCTACTGCGCGCCAACAGCAGACTCTCGGGACTCCTGGCAGGCCACGGTGCAGCACGTGCCTCCCCACCCATCCCTCTCCACCCTTCCCCATGTTTCACTCCTCCGTGTTTTCCATCCCCTGCAGGAGTGGAGCTCTATTGTGGCCCCACGGCAGACTCTCGGGACGTCTGGCAAGCCACCGTGCACCTCATGCCTCCTCCCTCCCTCCCTCCCCATCCTTCCACTTGTTTCACTTCATCCCCTCCCCTGCAGGAGTGGAGCTTTACTGTGCCCCCACGGCAGACTCGCGGGACTCCTGGCAGGCCACGGTGCAGCACATAGCGCTCGAGGGCGGCTGCTTCGTCCTCTCTGCCAACCAGTTCTGCGTGCGCTCCGACTACCCTCCGCCCCCGGATTTCGTCTTTTCCGCGTCCGGGCGGCTGGATACAGACGAGCCGCCGCCGTCCGCCGTGGTGTGTCGGGGCGGCAGTGTGATTGTGTCTCCGCTAGGCCGGGTGCTGGCCGGCCCAAACTATGACGGGCAGGCACTGCTGACCGCTGATCTCGGTAAACCGAGTTGTTGTTTTGTTCCGTTTTTTTCAAAGCTTTATTGGTATTTTAATTATTCACGACGTGCCGTATCAATACCCGTTTCTAATCATCAACTTGCCCCAGTCCCCACCGCCCCCCACCAAACATGGGTGACATCATACGAGCCAAGTTTGTCTTTGATGTCACAGGGCACTACGCACTGTGGGTTTTGAGTCGAATCAGATCTCACATCTCCTCCGCCTCCCCCCCCTACCCTACCCCCGCCCCACCACCAGACATGGGTGACATTGTACGGGCCAAGTTTGACTTTGATGTCACAGGGCACTACGCACGGCCGGATATATTTTCCCTGCGTGTCAAAGAGGTGTCTACAGTGCCTGTACAGTACGATAACGAGTCTGCGCCGTGCCACATGCTTCATTATAAGCACCACCACCACCACCAACAGCAGCAACAACAGCAACAGCAGCAGCAGCAGCAACAGGAGGAGCAAAGGATGTGATGCAATTAAAGTATATACTGTTGATGTGACAGCAAACACACTCAAAGGCAGCATTTGCGTGCCATTGACCACTGACATTTTACTGCAGAAATGCAGAGCCCTTTTTAGTCGATGGAAAGGGTCTTGTACATACTTTCGCACAGCAAGCTCGGTTCACTATCATATGATGAAGACCATTGGAAAAGCCTGTGAATTAGCATTCTTGCATTTTCCTCTTTATGTAATCCAATGAGTCAGTGAGATGTGACAGATGTACAATCTGTAGGTTGAAAGTGGGAAATAGATGTCTTCACTCAACGCAGACACATGGGCCACTTGTGACTAAAGAAAACAAAGGAAAAGGAAACTTAAGCATTGTATAAACCAATGAGGAGGTACACTAATGTGGCCCAAAAACGAGCTTTGCAGTATCAAGCCAGACAGTCACCTGTCTGTGGGAGCAAAACGGAAACAGTAGAAAGGAACCTGAACCTGATACCCCAAAGCCATAAAGCAGCAGCAGCAGCAGCAGCCGCAGCAGCCTGAGCAAGGAGCGAGTGACCCATCCTCGAGCAACTCATCCTCAGGCTAAGCCGCAGTCTTTCAAAATCCAAAACGTAGGCACAGGGACGATCACTCCACAGCCCCTCGCCTCCTCCTCCAGCCACCCACCATCCCCGTCTCTCCACCCTCCTCTCTTCACCCGCCTCCCTTCCTCCCCTTCCTCCCTCCTCTCTTCACCCGCCTCCCTTCCTCCCCTTCCTCCCTCCTCTCTATGCCCTCCTCTCTCCAACCTCTTCCGCCACCTCCCCTCTACCACTTGACAAAGACACCACCCCACAGCCACCACTCCACCTTCGCCCACCAGTGCCCCAGCAGTCATCCACCTCTCACCTCCCCCCTCGCCCTGCCCTACCACCCGCCAACCCTTTGCGCCGACCTGATTTATGGCTTGGCTGAGTC